GTGTTCTCCTCCCTCTTCTCCAGACTCCCATCTGTAACAAAGGACATTATCTACCACCTGTATAAGGTTCCATTCAGCCCACAGTGCTTGTAACTCCTTAGATGAATTTTGCACATACTTCCATTCAGGTCTCTGGCCACTCTCCATCCATTGCCACTGTTGCTTGAGACATATGTCATCTTTCTGTTCTCCATGCCAATCAAATTAATCTTGAATTCCATGACTAGTTTCAGCTACATGACCAAGTACATATAGCATTATCTACATTTTCCATTTCAAAAGTGTTATTGACACTGTCCACAGGGTTTACGAGACAAACCGTCCGCATTGCCATGTTTTAGTCCAGGCCGATGCTCGACGTGAAACTCATATTCAGCCAAACATTCAATCCATCTGGCGACTTGACCTTCTTGATCTTTGAAATTATCCAATGATCTGTTCTTGTCAAAACTTTTCGGCCTATCAAATAACGTTTGAACTGTTTACACATACTGACCACACCCAATAGTTCTTTTCATGTTATACAGTAGTTGCGTTCAGGTTTACTCAAAGATCTACTTGCATAGGCAATGATCACTTCCTGTCCATCCTGAATCTGACTGAGAACACCTCCAATTCCTGTATTACTTGCATCTTGTGCTTCCATAGTTTCTATAAACTGTTTCACTTCTTGCTGACCATGAAAAGGTACACGTCTGGGAGGTTGTCTGATTGGATGAACTTTGAGCTTCATATTCTTCGGTTCAATTCTCACACTTAAACTGGTATCACCACTGATCACAATTTCCTGTGAATTTGCAGACCAAGCTCTATTTTGTGTAGGCTTTAAATTGACTTGAAATCCTAAGGAATTAAGAAACTTCATTAATCACTGACATAGATGCACCTGTATCCACCATTCCATCCCCCTGAATTCCTTCCAAATACACTGTCGCATATAAAACACGACTATCAACTTCACACGTAGAAACAATTGTATATTCTGGTTGGGTCTCACTATCTTCCTTGACATGAGCCGAGGAATGACCCCTGCCCCTGGCTCCTACTCATTTTTATCCCTCCTGGGTCTCCGGCCAAATTTCTGTATGTGTCCAGGCTGTCCACAGTTGTAGCATTTCCGCTGACCATAACGGACGTTCCTGTGACCTTGTCCAGATGAAATGTTCTTTAAGGCATCTGCCATACCCGTGAACACCTCTTGCTGCTGAGAAATAATTACCATCATCTTTTCTTGTTGATCTGACAGCTTCTTAACTACTTCATCTTTTACAATTGGAGCTACTGATGCTGGCACAGATTGTTGATCAACGTGATCAATTTTCTCAATTGTGAGCCACTATGATGCTTCTCTCACAGCTTCATTCAAACTTCCTGGATTAGCATGTGCCACTGCATGTCGTAATGTTCTTGGCTCAAGTCTCTTGATAAACTGGGCCTAGATTTTCGAAGCTCTCTTAGCGCTAAGATAGTCGCAAGTTAATGTTAATGTATGGCACTTACGACTATCTTAGCGCTAAGAGAGCTCCGAAAATCTAGATCCTGGTCCTTAGCTAAGTCAACATCACCAGCTCTCATAGTTGGGTATGCTGTATGTGCCAACTTCCTCACTTCAGCTGCATAAATCCACACACTTTTATCTTTCAAACTCACCGCCTGTAACTCAGCTTTATAGTTCTTTCTTCTCTCCTCTGGTGCAAAATGAGTCTGGAAACGTTCACATAACAGATCAAAGTCCCTCTTCTGATCTGAACTGAAACTGTGATATATAGATTTAGCCTCTTCTGTTAGACACATTGCCAGATACTTAGCTTTCTTCTCTCCACCCCAGGCATTCATCTCGGCACATAGCTCAAATTCCTCAAGCCATTCTTCCCAATTTTCACGACCAGAAAACTTCTCAGGCATAGCCACATGCCGTAAATATCTTGTTCCTCCCCATTCTGCCATCCAACCGCTGCCACCAATGTTAGATCTGTGAACGAAGAAAAACTTTGTATTGAAGAACCGTGGCTATTTATTCGCTACAGGCTTACATCCAAAAATACGTGCGCACACAGCTGCAACGTCTACTAACTGACCCCTCCCAACTACCTAGATACCTAACGGTATCAATTGGTGATTTCTCTCATGTATGAGAGGAGGAACTATTCCTCCGCCTGTCTTGTGAGGTCAGAGTGACCTCCATATCTAGAGGTCCAAAAGGGTTCTCTAGAGGAAGCTCTGAAGGTAAAGGGACGGCATGTGTTTGTTTCCTATTGAATTGTTTTCCTTTCTTTTTTGTCGATTGACTAGTACTTGGCTGTTTGTCCGACGTTTGAGATAATATCTCAGGCTGATTGTCAGGCTGATTATCAGTCTGAGATCCAGAGGGAGACTTAGTTACTCAGGGAGCTGGTGAAGTTGAAGTTATAGGTTTCTCCGACTTCACCCATGTCAAATCTGTCTGGCATGTAACAGATGATGTTGCTACAGTACGAGTGACAGCAGCAGAGCATGTCATGTTTACTGGATTTGAAACTTCATTTGCAAGAAGTTTTTTTGCGTCAAGATACGAGATGTTCTTCTCACATTATAATCACATTATCTTTGACTCTTTGGCCATGGCAGTTAGCACACTTATATTTTTTGTCACAGTCTGTGTTGTCGTGGCTCTCACCACATCGATGACATATGATAATAATGTGTCCATTTATATAGCGCCAAACTCCACACTAGGTATGCCCATAGCGTTAACAATCAAGGCACAGCACATCATTACCCGGGATAACCCAAGCTGCCTCTTACGCGCTAGAAGGTTATAGTCATATGACTTTTTCCACCGGGTACCCATTTTCTTGCTGGGTGAACAGAGATCAATTTTGAACAAACTCACTTGCCTAAGGTGAGACCACATGTGTCACATGTGCTTCGTTGTGGGGCAGGACTCAAGTCCTATAAACTCTCAGGAGTCAAGCTGCCAAACACATATCACAGAACCACGACAAGAGTTTGACACATGACCAACTTTTTGGCATTTGTAACACCGGAGTGGACTGGGGACATACACGTCCACTCCGATATTAACATATCCAGCTTTAATTGACTATGGCAGTGAAGCACGAGCAAACATCAAGAGATAGGTGTTTGTTTTCACACTGATATCTTCTCTTTTGACTGATCGTGAAGTTCTGCAGCAAAATCCTCGTCGGACATGTCAGATAGACAGCGAGCTCTGTCGCGAATGATACCACGACATGAATTAAAAGTTCTGTGTGCAGACACAGCAACCTCAACTTTGTCAAATGTTTTAATCGATTAGAGATTAAGAGATTGCTGTCTCTGCGCGCATCCCACCAGAAGGGAACCACTACGGACACGGGTGCCGTTTTTAACGTCGCCGCAAATTCCAGAAAGAGCCCTCGATATAGCGAAAGGATTTAGTTTTATAGGCAGAAAATCAGTTGCCTCAATCACAAGGAAACAAGCCCATGATTCAGAATTTGTAGGAACAGTTTTGGAAGAGTAATCAGCATTTTCATACCGTCGCTGTTTTTCATTCCACAATGAACCAGATGGAGTGGGATCCATGATAACAGTCAATAGTTTTCAGCACCCCTGCTCCCCATCCACCACGGAGTGTCAACAAGGACAGTGTCATGTAGCACCGGATCTCCGAGATGCAGACACCAGGGATCCAGGGGTGTTATACTCCAGAGATAAAGACATGAAAAGCTATGAAAACTAAAAGAATAATGCCAGGTTGGTTTGGTCCATGACATCATCAAGAATCACAGATTTCAGAGTTCTATGATCACCAGATTGGCCCATGAGCCATCGCCTTCTGGCATAGGGCTCTAGGCAATTCATACAGGATACTTTTAATTGCTGACAGTCATAAATAATCACATATAATCAAAATAATTGCAGCAGAAATATATTCCATGCGCAGGGCACGATGTGACCAGCCAATCAGCCGGATAGAACCGGGCCAGTTCTACCACCCGTCTATGTGAAGTAAGGGCCAAAGTGGTGGGTTGGGCAAAAGGAACACGGGTCCAGGCTCCCAGTGCCCTCAATCACCAGAATCCCGTCCTCCACCGACACAGGGGCGCAACCCACAGCAAAGAGGTTGCAATTGGTGGACCAAATATGCCCCCGGGTCCAAACGGGGGGTTGAAGAGCTCTTAGCATTATCCAGCACCCACCACGAGGAGGTGGCTCTTCACGGATGCCAAGTATGAAACGATGTTTTAAAGATGAACCATGAAGTGCCTGAAGACAAAAGAGCGAATCAGAGACGATGATAAACTGCATATATCTAGATTGGCATTGAATGTATTCTAATTCTGTTTCAATCGGTTTGGCTTCAACTGTAAAGATAGAACTGTTATCAGTCATCTTGGAAGATATGCATTTCGAACCAATGCCGGTGGCACTTGAAACCTTGCCACCATCATTGGATCCGTCTGTAAAAATTGAGCAATAAGTATCATATGCAGCTCGCAACTGTATATATTCCTGTTTAAAGACTTGTTGATTTGTATCATATTTTAAAAGTTAGTAAATGAAAAATCTACCTCAGGCCTTACTAAGTGCCAATGAGGAGTAGACAGAAGCTGAGATGGAAATATTATATCTTAGTCGATATCACATGCTGTAATATGAGGTTTGAACACAAGTCCAAGATCCCGTACAAGGTTTACATTGAAACAATTCGTCACAAAGGGGATGAAACACACAATTATATCTGGACTGGATGGATTTGAACGTAACTCTGTTTGATACTGAAGAGATGGTTTTAAATGACGTTGTTTGAGGGAAGGTTCTTCAGCCTCCACGTACAGACTCTCTACTGGAGATGTTCTAAATCCCCTATGGCAGAATCTCAGACCTTGGTGGTGTATGCTATCCAATTTCTTTAAACTGCTCCGCCGTATACAATAGAATCATAATCCTGTTTAGATGAAATAAGACATCTGTACAGGTGGAGAGAATGGTTGTCTGATCTCCTCCCAATTTAGATTTAGCAACTACTTTTAGCAGATCAAGTGCCTTCAACCACTAAGTTTTAAGATATTTTATCCGAGATGAAAACGTTAAATGTCGGTCACAATTACGACTTTTATGGGCGCAATATCTAAGAATAATTGTGGGTCTATATTTCTACAAAAATGTATACAATGGGCCTTTGTTTTACAAACACAGCTATTGAAGGAAATAGGTCAGTAATTTGATGGATCTGTAAGATCCCACCCAAGCCTTGAAACAGGAACAATTATAGCGTTATGCCATGAAGGAGGAAAATACTATCAGCTCCTGTTGTAGTATCATGAGCTTATGATAACTTAGTGAGTAACTAATGGAGTAAAAGTACTTCATTATAATCTACACCATTATCAGAACTAAAATGTACTTTTTATTCTCTTCCCAGTTCTGATTTAATTTAAACAGGGGATCATAATTCTATGAGGATGAACGTTTGGCCACGGTTTCACCTAACTTATTTTCAATTTCAGGTGTGTTTTTTCTGTTAATCAATGATTGTCGTCTTTAAGTAGATGAATACTGGACTTCGAACTTTTGTCTTTGATTTGTTTTATTACGTTCTAAACTTTTGTGTGCGTGAATCTATTTTAGAAACGTAGATCTTCCACGTCGGACGTCTATTTGGTTTAAACGTTCGACTAGCGTTGGCAAACTGATTTTAAATCTTGAACAGTAGGGTGTCAGCGAAAGTATTTCTCTGCATTCTTCCTACTCTACTCATGTTGCAGTCATCAGCATTACGGCAGGTTTTGAACAATGCCTCTAATGGACCTGGTTGTTTTTGTGTGTGTGCTGTACCAGCAATGCTGATACTTGGAAATTATTGTAATAGATCAATTGATTGTTGTCTCCTTGAACACTCAACAAGGAGCTGACCACCTCCGAGACATGAAAGATTCTTGACTTCACAGATAAAATGTTTATAAAAATGGATTTAGCTTGACGGGTTCACCATTTGTCGCCTCAGTGACTATAAATCTTGCCCACTTTCCTTCTGTTTTGGAGATGAAACATCTTCAGCCTCTATACGCCTTAGTTTGTGTCTTTTCTAGCGGAACCAGAATGTGTTTGATCCATGATGTGGGCAAGAGGTCCCCACCCACCACCGAGTGTGAATAAGGGCAGTGTTTGACCGCAGCAGTGATACAAACACTAGGGATACAGGTGTTTACTCCAGTAAAGCTATGTTTGTCTACCAACTATAATGTCTGTCTGGTTTGGCTCAAAACAAGAAACATGGAGACATATAGAATTCAGCGGTCGACATCACCAGATTGGTCCAAAAATCACCTGACATAGGACTCTAGGCAAATTTAAATTCAAAATTCAAACTTTCTAATAATAACACCTCGAATACAGGCCTTTGTGGCTGTGATGAAAAAAGATGTGTGTTATGATAATACCTTTTGTTCTGATAAATATGTTTCTCATATGTGTTCTCAGATGGCTGAAAGACACTGTCCAGACATGTTCAGAGCACAGGGTGGATTTTATCACCAAGGTAAGTTGCTATATTGCGCTTGAATAGTAAACATGTATGCATTATGTATGGAATTTGGTCTGCATGACTGTGTGTTTGCTTGTCGGTTAGTGCCACACTCAGCAGTGTTCTAACTTCATGAAGCCAGTCTGTAAATATTCGGGTCTGGACCCGGGTCTGCATTCGGGTCTGCATTCGATCTATGCAATTGGAATACGGTGGCATGCATCAACCAAAAAAGCAAGCCTGACCAACCGCTCCCGTCAGCTCACTCTATGAAACAACCAAACTTACATGTACTTTATAATTTGAAAATATGATAAAGCATCCAGTGGAGGTACAAAGAGTGTATACAGAACAATTTTATAACTACGTTCATACAAATATAATAATTACCTTTCCTCCTCACAGATGATGAACAATGTGACAAATGTGAACTGCTCCGGCGAAGAATTCATGCTGGACAACCTGTCATCAAGGGAAGAAGATGTTTCCCTCAAACATGTTTTTTCAAATTACATTGGCATGTAGGTTTCATTAATCCTTCCACAGACAGGTCTGGGAGAAATATTAGAAAAGCCAAACGTCTTGCAATGTGTGAGAATCTTGCAAAATACGCTTCAGCCTTGATGAATTCACATGGAGGTACAATACTTATTCACATTGATGGCTTGACACAGGCGATTTCTACCTTGGCTATCTGGATGAAATGGTGGCCGAAAAATTACATTCATTGTTAGAAAGAGGACAGCTTTATTCCAATGCATTTAAGACAGTGTCAATGGGAGAATTAGACAGTAGATACAAGGAATATGTCCTCTTTGTGTAAATGGTAGCTCCCGATTCGTAACACAAGAACTGAACACATGTGTCGCTCTAGATGATAGGATCCTAGAAGCCCCCGCTGAGGTTGTGTCAGAGATCTTGATCTCAAAACCCCAAGTCAGGAGGATGCGTCCAAAGATACGTGGAACACATTTCTCTAAAGAAAATCGTGAAGTACAATTCAAACGGTTCAAACCACCATCATTTCTTGAGGAAGAACTGAAGAATAATCCTGAAAAACGGCACTTTACATTTGGAAGGAACTTGGACTTCGTGAATACTTGACGGCCTTTGCCAAACTTCCAGAAGGCGGGTCATATTTTCTCGGAGTTGGAGAAAATGAAATTTCACTTCAACGATACAAAACCAAGAAAATCGTGCTTGAAGGAATTCCCGAGGGTTTTGTGGATACACGGGTCATTCGTCAATTGGAGCATTTCTTTAGGAACTCGACACTGTTTTGCAACTATAGTGGGGAGTTCATTCCTTCTGTTTCCTCCAACTTTATAATCAAGGTTCACTACAACGAGTTTGGGAAACGTGTCTTGGAATGTTCCATTGCTCCAATGAATGGTATATTGTTTTATGCCAAAACCGGGCCTGTATCATACAAAGTACACAATGGCCAACTCAGACAAATCGCGCCTCAAGAGTGGTATGATGCAATGACAAGAAAACACAAGACTGGTAATGTATTATTTTGATGGCAATGTTCTTTTTTTTTCTTTTCGATATTCTAAGTTAAATGTTCCTATTCCTCATAATCTATAGCGTGAAGATCCAATTAGTATTATACTAGAATAAGTCTTCAGCAATCCATGCTTGTCGTAAGAGGTGAGGATCTAATGGTCAAGCTTGCTGACTTGGTTGACACAATTGCGTTGGTCACTGCTCATGATCCTGATCATTAGATTGTCTGGTTCAGACTTGTTTATTTACAGATCGCCGCCATATAGCTGGATTATTGCTGAGTTCAAACCAACCATAATATATTATTTCCTTTAATTTGTAGAAACATATTGACTCGTGGATAAAAGAAAGATTATACACTCTCTCAAAAAGAAACGCAACCCCTGTTTTTGTGGTAATGTTTATATCAATTTGAACTGGTTATTACATTTGTATTTTTAAAGATAATGCCATGAAATTTGACATGGTGAACCTTAGGTCAGCACGGTATAAGGTAACAGTTAATGCAGGTCAGTATCGAACTCTCAATTTACGCTAGGGGCGTTGTCTTCAGTATCTCGTTGTAGAGCCACGAGCTCTAATCACAGCAGTGCACCTCCTCGGAACAGAACGAATCAGACGGCGGATGTTTTCCTGGGGATTGCTCTCCACTCTTCCTGGAGTGCTGCGGCCATTTCAACCAACTCGTGCGGTTGTGGTGTACGTGCACGAACACGACGATCCAGCTGGTCCCACAGATGTTCGATAGGATTGATGTCTGGCGATCTGGAGGGCCACGGCATCACGTTGACGTTTGAATTCTGTAGGAATGCCACTGTTGCACGAGCTTCTGTATGAGGGCGGGCATTGTCATGTTGAAACAACTCCCTCTGTTGGTCGATTATCGGCAGAAGATGTGGCTGTAAGACGTCATCAATGTACCGTTGTGCCGTCAAATTGCCACGAATGATGACCAAGTCTGACCGTTGGTTGTAAGACATGGCTCCCCATACCATGATGCTTTCTCCTCCAAATCTGTCGACCTGTCGAACGCAGTTCGGTGCAAAACGTTCATTTGCTCGTCTATAGACACGTTGTCTACCGTCACGTCGTTGAAGAAGAAACGAGACTCGTCACTAAACCAGACTCTTCTCTAGTTTCTTAGGGTCCATGTCCTTACGTTAGTACACCACCTGAGACGTTGGCGTCGATGTTGGCGTTTCAAGACGGGCCCAACAACTGGTCTTCTTGCACGTAAATTTGCCTCATGTAAACGGTTCCTGATGGTTTGGGCCGATACTCTCCTCAAACCTGGCACCTGTGTTGCAGTGATGGTGGGTGTGGCATGCCGATTACGTAGGTGGCTGAGTCGAATAAAGCGATCCTGAGCCGGTGTGGTGATCCTAGGTCTACCGCTCCTTGGACGATCTTCAATTGCATGGAACTGTGTGTAACGATTCCAAAGTCGTGAGATTGTTGTTTTGTGTACGTTTAGATGACGGGCAACTGTTCCAAAGCTTTCCCCGGCCTCAATGCGACCAATGGCAATATTTCGATTTGCTGTACTCAAACGGGGCATTTTCGAACTTGATTTGCAGAGCAAATTATGAGAGGAAATTACAAACTACGCGTGCTTTTAAAACCCTCTACATGAACTGTGTTTTCAACGATTTGCACGTGCAACAGGCTTTTAGCATTTTGTACATGACAATTTCGCACTTTCTCAAATAACACGGATACAAAGGTCATCATGTGTGAAAATGGTTCCGTTTGGGAGCTTATACTGATCAGATGGGAACGTATTAACAGTATTTTGAAGAAAATTCTAATTTACATTCACCATCTTTATTCTAGAAATGATGTCAGATATTTAGATAGGGGTTGCGTTTCTTTTTTGAGAGAGTATATATAAACTGCTTGTAATAGGCAACTAAAGTTTGGGCCTTGTAACGGTGATGAGCGTGTCATATCGTGTCTGGACTCATTCAGTGGATGTGTCATCGAAAATCCGAAGCAACCTTATTAATGAAATAGAGGGATAACCTAGTGGTTAAAGTGTTTGCTCGTCACGCCGAAGGCCCGGCTTCGATTCCTCAAATGGGTACAATGTGTGAAGCCCATTTCGATGTCCCCACCATGATATTGCTGGAATATGGCTAAATGCAGCGTAAAACCATACTCACTCACTCACTATTAATGAAATATTGTTTGACTCCCGTGCTTGAATTCTTGTCGCTGGACGAAACATGAGTATATGTGAATATGTGAAGTAGGTAAAATTGAATGAAACACATATTTTATTAATTGTCAAAAAATCTTATGCGTATGCACGTTCTATCCACGTGAAAGCTTTGAATGAAAGCTTAATATTTAAGTTTAAATTGGTTTTACGATATCATTTCAGATGGCACAGCAAAGCACCATGATTGTAAGTAGATCGAATACAGTAGGATTTTGAATTTGTTTTGCAGGTAAATATCTTCTGGGGAGATTATATAAAGGTTTTATTTATGACTCACGTATGTCAGAAGCATACATTTGACTTAGTGACTGCAGGCTGCATTTATGTAATTGAAATTGAAGTGCTAGTAAAAAAAAATTCAATTCATGAGTGCAATTTGTGTGATTGATTGACGATGCTGTTGCTGTTTTAGGGAAACATATGGAACCTAAGAAAACCTGGACAGAAGAAAAACAGAAGTTGCAAAATCAGTGATTAATCGAGCTTCAGAACTCCAGTGAAGAAAATGACGATGGGTCGACAGAATCGTGTTTTTGCATACGTTGAAGAATCCATACGAACTGCTCTGAAACTTTCTCCTGACGCATTTCTTCCACTTGGAATTATCTGTGAAGCTGTCATTTTAATTCCCCACAGGTTCGGATTTGTGTTAACCGTCCATGATGGACGTAGACCTTCTGCGGACATTCTCACTTACAACTGCCAACTTGGGCGGGACCTATCAGCTGCTGTTCGACTTACACAAAAAGACAATTTCATTTTTCTTACGGATGTTGTGTCAGTCTCTGATGTCTCCTCGAGGAAGACCTTCACGGAAAAAATAAGAGAACTCGAAACGTATGCATATTCAATATGCATTCCTGACATGTTTGGAATAAGAAGACAAAAGTTTGAGAATCTTATCAGCGCCATAGGGGTATGTTCATTTAAAGGAGACAAGGACGACCATCCAGCGTGAGTGCTGAATTTTGGTGCCACTAATAATTTGATCGAGCATCTAAAAGTTTAAATGCATTGCTCAGTTGCCTTTTTACGACATGATGTGTAGAGCACTCATACGCTTACAGACATTCCCTGAGATGGTCATAAGGCAAAATATTACTAACATATTACAAATATAACAGGACCCGTGAAGGTCCGAGTTAGAATATTGATCTTCAGTAACCCATGCTTGTCGTAAGAGGCGACTAACGGGATTGGGTGGTCAGGCTCTCTGACTTGGTTGACCATCAACATGTCAACGGTTTCCAGTTGTGCAGATCGATGCTCATGCTGTTGATCACTGGATTGTCTGGTCCAGACTCAATTATTTACAGACTGCTGCCATATAGCTGGAATATTGCTGAGTGTGGCATAAACTAAACTCACAATATGCATTCATGACATGTTCGGAATAAGAATCTTATCAGCGCCATAGGAGTATGTTCATTTCAAGGAGAGAAGGACGACCATCCAGCGTGAGTGCTACTTTGAGGTGTTTGGTGCCACCATTGATGTGACCGAGCATCTAAAGTATTAAATACATTGCTCATTTGCCTTATTTGTGTTGAACGCACACACGCTTACATACATTCCCGAGATAATAACATATTATTATCATTACAAATAAAGCAGAGGGTGAGATGTTTGCATTGATGTAAAAAGATAATTGCACAAAGAATATATGTAAATTTTGAGACAACTCCTGAAGATTAAATTTGTAATCAATCAAAATGAATTGCTTCATTGTATGCAGGAAGACATTCCTGACAGCCACGATATTTTTTGTAAAAATGACACTGATATCTTCAAAGCTTCATTTTTAAACATATTTTTAGTTCTAGACGGATACACCCTTTGATACAGACTTGACTACGTGAACTAACACAAATAACAGACAGATGGACCTTGATACAGACTCAAACCGTAATGTCAACATATTTGATAGTATATATGTCTTTCCATTTCGTATATGATCTGTAACTATTTTATATGTTGCAGAGACGGAATAGAGAAACTTATCAGCGGATTAACACAATGCAACGACCTTTCCAACACAGTGAGCAAAAAATTAATGGAAATTGCAGCAGATGTAGATGACCTTGAACAAAACAAGCGCCTCACGAAAGTAATTTGTGCTGGCACGGGACTCATTGGAGCTGCTCTGTCAATATCCGGTCTCTTGCTTGGCCCTGTTGGAATGCCCCTTGCACTGGTGGGTGCTGCTGTCGGTGTTGGAGGGTGTAGGTGAAGTAGCAGTGTCACTTGTCGTCGGAGCAAAGACAAAACAGAAAATCCAAGAAGCCCAAACATTTTTATTGGAATTCGAGGATGTTTGCAAAACCTTCGAGATGACATGCACGTCCAACATATGGTTGTCCTGGCATCAGTGTGGACTGTAGCACATCGCACAATGCTGCTGCGTGCGTTTTCGATGTTATGGACGACATCGTTGTAAAACGGACTTAAGGCATCGAAGTTTGTAGGAGTGGTCCTGTCTGCCCTTCTGGTACCTTTAGAAGCGTACAAGTTGATTTCAAATGTTGCGGAGTTAATTGAAAGAAAACCTCTGCTGTTGCTGCGAAACTCCGTTCGAAGGCTAATGAAATGAAAGATCTTTCGAAAGATCTTGATAAGAAAATACCAGATCTTGTGACCATCCTACATGACTCTTGAGAGTAACTTTGAATCCTCCAGGTACCACTGCACACAACATGCAAGACCGGAGTCCGACGATAAGGTCCGCGTGTTGAAAGCTAGAGACGTACTCAGAGCCAGTGGTTACGGAATCGCTAATGACTTAACCAAACATCTGAAGAATAACAATATCTTTCAGATTATCCAGAATGAAGATAACTCTATAGATGACTCACCCCTATACTCGATGACATAGACAGACAGGTGCTAGACTGCAATATTACAGACAGTGAAATTCTGAATGTCATTAATAGTCTTAAATGTGGTAAATCACCTGGTCTCGATCTGGTTCTTGTGGAAATGTTCAAATGTTGAAGTTCTGAAATTCTGCCATTTCTTAGTAAATGTTTTAACAAAATATTCAATGATGGCTACTTTCCAGAAGTCTGGTCAAGTTCAATTATTGTCCCAGTTCATAAAAAGGAGATGTAAACAACCCAGTGAGTGAGTGAGTTTAGTTTTACGCCGCACTCAGCAATATTCCAGCTATATGGCGGCGGTCTGTAGATAATCGAGTCTGGACCAGACAATCCAGTGATCAACAGCATGAGCATCGATCTGCGCAATTGGGAACCGATGACGTGTGTCAACCAAGTGAGCGAAACTGACCACCCGATCCCGTTAGTCGCCTCTTACGACAAGATAATCGCCTTTTATGGCAAGCACATGGGTTGCTGAAGACCTATTCTACCCCGGATCTTCACGGGTCGTAAACAACCCAGACAACTACAGAGGTATATCATTAATGAGTATTTTAGGTAAAGCTTTTACATCTATTCTCAATAATAGACTTACACTGTGGGCAAACATGCACGATAAAAATTCCCGAATGTCAAGGAGGATTCAGGAAGTCTTATTCCACATCAGACCATACTTTCACCATATATATGCAATTATTCAGAAATGTTTATCTCGACGCAAATCTAAATTGTATGTTGCATTTGTTGATTTTAAAAGGCGTTCGACTCAGTTGATCGTTCCAAATAATAGTTTTATCTTAGAAATGTTGGCCTGGGAGGCAAAATGTACACCATGCTTACTTCCATTGTATTCAAATATCAAATCATGTGTACGCAGGCAAGGTGGTTTTATCTGATTTTTTGATTGTCCAGTCGGTTTAAGACAAGGATGTATTATGAGCCCTATCCTGTTCTCTTTCTTCATAAACGAGTTATATAATGATATTTCGCTGCAAAGGTAAGCATGGTGTCCAGTTATTTCCTGACATTATTGAAATATTTATGTTACTTTTGGCAGACGATGTAATTCTAGTATCTACCTCAATTATTGGGTTACAAAACCAACTAAACATACTAGAAAGACATTCTTCAGAATGGTCGCTATCAGTAAATCTTTAAAAGACTAATATTGTTGTATTTAGAAAAGGTGGTCCCTCTCTTCGAAGGAAAAGTGGTGTTTTAATTCTAAACTCATTAATGTCGTAAATCATTATAAATACCTCGGTGTAAAACGTTTCTTTACTGTGAACTGGACACATTGTGCTGCAGATTTAGCTCTCAGAGCTAAGAAAGCACTGTTATACCTCATGTCCGTTTATAACAACGTTGGGTTCCTTTAATGACAACGTGTTTTTCAAATTATTTGATGTACAAATTCAGCCTATTCTTTTGTACGGTTCAGAAATATGGGGCTTCCAACCTTTCCAAGCGCTTGAAAAAGATACACTTACTGGCCTGCAAGAATCTTTTAGGCGTTACACAATCTACCCCTAACGACATGGTATATGGAGAATGTGGGAGATTTCGAGGTTTTCATTAATGCTCAAATAAGATGCTTAAAATACTGGCTAAAGAAAGTACAAATGCATGATCACCGTCTCCCGAATATTTCCTACAATATGCTTCTACATTTAGACAATAACGGCAAAGAAACTTGGGCGTTCCATGTAAGGAACCTTCTTTGTTCTAAAGGTTTTGGTATCGCCTGGTTAAACCAATCCGTAGGTAATGTCATTGTTTTTCCTGAACCAGTTTAGAGATCGCTGTATATGTATTTTTCAACAAGAATGGCACTCGAGGTTAGAAGAAAGCTCCCCGTTTTGATTGTTACAGACAGTTTAAGTCCCTTTTAGAACCAGAGATATATTTATCCCTCGTGACTGCAAAGAGTCTGGAGACTGCTACTTGTAAAGTTTAGATTGGGGCTATTAGATTTAAAAGTAAACGAAGGAAGAAGACTATCCATTGATAGAAATTATAGATCATGTCCATTTTGTGAAAAAACAGGCATTGAAGACGAATTACATTTTCTTGTTGAATGTCCAGCCTATGATAAAATCCGTTCTGATTATCTCCGTAACTGTATTACAATCAGAAGAAATAATGCAGCATTTTACAAAATTGTTTCCTCATGCGATGTCTCCATTTTAAAAGATTACCACTGTATATCCATCAAGCTATTATGTCAAGAAAACAATTGTTATCCTCCTAAATGAGAACCTTCTTTGTAACCACACCACTGTATATGGGCCGGTGGCATTACATACAAACAAACATATTTTGACCTTTTGAGTGGATAACAGTGAGTGAACAAGTCTGCCACAGAGGGATGTTTGACTGACTGTCGGTATTTATGCCTACCCCAACTGCGAAAACTTTGCTATGGCGAACTCTAATGAAGCTATCTTGTCAGAATTACATACACTAATTTGGTTGACGAAGGCATTGATGATACGTGTGTCGTCACTCAAGTGAGACTGCATGGAAACACTGTCTTCATCAGAAGTGAAGGATACCTTATGTTTCATATCTTCCCAACTATGGCAACTTCATTACAACAGATAAAAACACATTCAGGTCGGACCACGATGCTTTCTAACTGAACCAGAGTCACGGATGTCGGGAGCATACGTACTTCTGCCCATGTGGAAGGGAGCAATCATTATACATATTGTAGCACCTTATCTACGTGTAAATGTTTACATGCTTGCCCATGAACATGACATTTTGGTTTCATTTCCTTTACATTACGCAGACGAGGAACTGTGAGTGTCTCAAAATGGCGAATCCCCATATGGGTACACTGTGTGAAGCCCATTTCTGGTGTCCCCCTCCGTAATGTTGCTGGAATATTGCTAAAGCGACGTAAAACCAAACTCAGTCAGTCAGTCTCAAAAGGAGATCAACACGTTTTGACGCGACTATCTTTCATTATCTGTAAACCCAGAGGAAAGTGGATAACACATATGTAGATTGGTGTGTTGGTACAGTAATAGGTGAAACCGCATTATCAGCGGTTCGAGTTTTGAAGGAGCTAACTCTAGATACAGACTTGGGGTATGCTGATTATCAAGGGAGATATCCGAGAGACAGCAGACGCTGTGGAGTACACGCACGAATATCAATGACGCGGTACAATGTTTCACACGTACCCGTGTTGTTTGCAATTGTTTTACTCTGTAGTAACCATTTCATGCATTTTGTATCAGTAAGTAACTCGTCCCCTGCCATGATATTGCTGGAATATTACTAAAAGCGGCGTACAACCATACTCAGTCATTGTCCTCCTGGGTGTGTTAAGTACACATCGATAACTAACCCTTAGACTGTATATATAAGTACTAATTTGCAAGATATCTGTGATTTCATGTCGACAACGTTTCAGACGTTGTTTATTGTCGAATATTGGCCCACGTTCCCATGTCAGATGTAGTGAGATAGAGTAGTCTCCCTTGAACCTCGGATAAAGAGGTTTCGCTCAATGAGTGTAATCTCATCATGTATAATATGAACTGTGTGCCAAAATGATGGAACACGTGATTCACTGACATATTCAACCATTCATGGGGTCATGGGGGCAAGGTGGGCGAGCAAGCTGTCTAAGGCGCCGCGCGAGTAAACGAAAGGTGCCTGGATCGATCCCCACTTGTGACTGGCTGTAAAACCTTGGAGCCAACATTACTTGCAGGCTCTTTCAGTGTTGTCACAACCCCTAGTGTGCAGCACACAAGCATGTGCACTTAAAAACCCACTCATCTGACGGTAGATGACCAGATGGTGGACACAAGAACACATGCTGACACCTAGTTGCGGGTATGGACCAAATACTGTGACTATGTGTCCCAGTTCACCCAGCTGCAAATGGGTACCTTGTGAGGAGGAGGCTGTGTGATAACTTGCTTGCGCGCTAACAGGCTGCATGACTTGAATACTCCCCAGAGAGTTGAGTTGGTTAAAAGCATGCCTGAATAAAAGACAACCGTTGATCAAGGGGAACACTCCAGCGCCTCGAGCATGTACTAGTTGCGTGGATATGTGCGCTATATAAATATCCTATCATCATCATCAACAGTCAACCCTGTACATACATGGAGGTGGCGTTGACTCTAATGATATAAGGGTAACGCTTTTTCAGGGCATTATCATTTGCAGAAGCTCGAAGTGTTTTTATTAACTGCCCTACGATTGGTTAGACCGATGGCTTCTGCAAATGATAATGCCCTGAAAAATAGCGTTACCGTTATTATAGCTAAAATGGGTAGATTTTTAATAAAATAAAACAAACAACGGTATCGGTTTTGAAGCATTTACTGCTAACAACAAACGACGGAGCTCACTGACCCACTTTTTACAAATATAGGAACGTCATAGAACAAAACTATTGAGAGTGACGACATTCGACCTGACCTTTGCCGATACTACCAGCCGCCATTTTTTCAAAGATTAACAACATTTGGGTTCCAGTCGATGTTTTCATTGCTGCATGTTGTAATTTATGGTACAATTGTGAAGGTTGACACCGGCAAGAAAGGGTATAATGGCACAGGTACATGTGATTAATGTGAGTCCGAAATATCGTCAATATTGAACCCAAGTTCAAACGAGCCGTAGGTGATTGAACATCAAGAGCTGAGCTCCTTATGACGTCGTCAAGCCGTTTGGGGCATTATCAAGTTACAGTGGCCCGCTCATATCTGATAACAATTTTAATGATAATTCTGTCCATTTTAGCTTTAACAGAAGTTATTATACATCAAATAATACTTGAGCTATTTTCATGTATACAGAACTAATTAACAGTCAGTTAAGGAGATGATGTCTTATTTTGTCTTAATTTTACTTATAATAAAAGTATGATACCTTTATGGAGTGAGTGAGTTCAGATTTAGATGACTTACTTAGCAGAGGTACCACTGCACACAGCACAACTGAAGAATGGCTTCCTTAGTAGAGGTACCACTGCACACGACACAAGTGAAGGATGAATTCCTTAGCAGAGGTACCACTGCACACAACACAAATGAAGGATGACTTCTTTTGCAGAGGTACCACTGCACACAACACAAATGAAGGATGACTTCCTTAGTAGTGGTACCCTTGCACACAACACAAGTGAAAAATGATTTCCTTAGCAGAGGTACCCACTGCACACAACACAAATGAAGGATGACTTCCTTAGCAGAGTACCACTGCACACAACACAAGTGAAGGATGATTTCTTTTGCAGAGGTACCACAGCACACAACACAACTGAAGGATGATTTCTTTTGCAGAGGTACCACAGCACACAACACAACTGAAGGATGAATTCTTTAGCAGAGGTACCACTGCACACAACACAAGTAAAAAATGATTTCCTTAGCAGACGTACCACTGCACACAACACAAATGAAGGATGACTTCCTTAGCAGAGGTACCACTGCACACAACACAAGTGAAGGATGCTTTCTTTGCAGAGGTACCACTGCACACAACACAAATGAAGGATGACTTCCCTTAGCAGAGGTACCACTGCACACAGCACAAGTGAAGGATGACTTCCTTATGGTAGAGGTACCACTGCACACGACACAAATGAAGGATGACTTCCTTAGTAGAGGTACCCATTGCACACAGCACAAGTGAAGGATGAATTCCTTAGTAGAGGTACTACTGCACACAGCACAAACGAAGGATGAATTTCTTAGTAGAAGTACCACTGCACGCAACACAAATGAAGGATGAATTCCTTTAGCAGAGGTACCACTGCACACAACACAGCTGGAGGATGATTAACTTAGCAGAGTAACTACACAACACTCCAAGTCTGCTTGTTTACCGACAAGGATTTAGGATATGTATCATATTATTCTTTCACGATTATGAGATATTTCTGTCCCATTTTATTGTAAATCTAACTTAAAGCCCCTTAATGATATTGACCCGTGAAGATCTGGGTTAGAATTGATCTTCAGTAAACCATGCTTGCAGTAAGAGGCAACTAAATGGATCGGGTGGTCAGATTCGCTGACATGGTTGACACGTGTCAACTGTGTAGATTGACGTTCATGTTCATGTTGATCACTGGATTGCGTGGTCCAGACTAGATTATTTACAGACCACCGCCATATTGCTGGAATACTGCTGATTGCGGCGTTAAACAACAAGCCAACCAAGCAACTGTGAAGTTCACACTCCAATTTGAGGGGTAGTTTGACCATGGTCAATTCAGTCATTCTGATGACAAGTCCTTGTGTGACAGCTGGAAGTAGTCAATATGAATGATCCAAACGGTCTATCATTGGGCAGTGCACAGGTAACTATCATGAACTGCACGTGCATTGACCTTTATGACCCCAACACTGCCGCTGTTACGGGTCATTGCTCCCTCCCCTCTGCAAGCAGTCTGCGTTCTGCTGTTTATTTTGTTGACAGTTCTATGGACAGATTCTTTAATACAAATGCATAAAATTGGTGATTTACACAATGTGATTAGGCTGTCTGACAAAACATCCACTTGCACAGTTTGAGATCGATTGGGTCATTGGATGAAGAGATATTTACAAAAAACGGGGTCCACATGCATTTCATGCCAAACTATAGTTCCGGGTACAGCAACGTGCAGTAAACTTGGACAAAGTACTCTGACTATGTGTCCCAGTCCACCCAGCTGTGAGTGTTTGCACTATTCATGTTGTCACCGTCTGGTCATTTACCAGCAGATTTGTGGGTTCTTTTAAGTGCACCTGTTCAGGATCTCCAGTAATTGACGCAGGCACTACATGAAAGAATGGCAGAGAATTCGACGCGTGATTGTATCAGACGCAGACTGGCTTATGTTATGGAAGGGTAGCTACGCCAGGTTCTGCAAACCGAAACATGAGTCTCATAAAACCAATTCTGACAATGACCTACTTTTCAGCCTTGCCGAATTTTCTCGTGTGAAAGTAAAAAGATACACTGCTAACAACTATGGTATTTACAAATGAAGTTTAATTTTAACTTTAAAACAATCGTGTTGATTGATAGAATGTCAAGGCCGTACAAGATCGCCAAAACGTTTCTAGCGGCCGAGGCTCTCGTTCTTTGAGATTTCCACGATTTCCAGATTTCCGTTTGTCTGAGCACGCTGTACGACAGAGCACGCTGCACGAAGTGTTTGCAAGGATTAGGAGTAGCGTAGTGTTGCAATATACAAGTGATTAGACGTATCAAATAACTCTGATTACTAATTATATATCCAGTTGAATGAGTTGGTCTCAAAATTCTGGACTTGTTATTTTACTAAGTGGCACCATAGGACAGAATCCAGTCAGCTGGAAACGAGACTGATGTGTAATCAATGTTTTGATTTGTATCATGGCTGCCAGTGGGGTTCATACAATCACAACAATTATAATTAGAGAACTGTGTGACAGATGAGATTGGGAGGCTTAGTCATGACGACATACTTTCCGGCATTGTCGATTTTGACGTTTTTTGTGTACACTCTTCAGATTGTTGCCAAATTTCAGTTTCAATTCCGATTTCGTTTTGAGAAATATATTATACGGTTACGATCTTAATAGACGGAATTTTGTTTTCAAAGCGTACAGTACAACATGTAGTGTTTTCGTACTGATCATTAAAAGAAAATGGTGAGTGTGGGTTTACGCCGCTTTTAGCAATATTCCAACAATATCACGGCGGGGACACCAGCAATCGGCTCCACACATTGTGCCCATGGGATTCGAATCAGGGCCTTCAGTGTGAATGCTTTTATTCATTAGGCTACCCCACTGCCCAACCCACACTTTAGTACAGCTGGTACCCACTCGTGATAAATTTGCGATGTAAAATGTTAACTCATTCATTCATTCGAGATAAAATGTTTCCCTTCATGGTGATATGTTTACAGATATAACACATTTATAGGACATGGCTATCGCAATATTCCAGCAATATCACCATGGGCGATAGCAGAAATGGGTTTCACACATTGCACCCATGTGGGGAATCGAACTCGGGTCTTCAGCGTGACGAGCGGACGCTTTAACAACTAGGCTATACTCCTACGTCCCTATAGAAGATGGGTGGTGCTTGATTAATGTTTATGTGTATAATGAAGGTCCGCACTTAATCTTGATTGACATGTAAGGCAGTGTTATGGTGGTGTCAGTTGTTTAGACTGTCTGTTGAGTATTTGGTGACTATATTCAACAACCAGTTCTGGTTCTAAATTACGCGACCACCAAACATGACTTTACTAGACCGGACCAAGTTTACGTTGTTTGTCCCTGGTCTCGTGAAGTGCAGTTACCTATCTACGGGACCAATTAATCACAGAGAGTATGAATGTCCTCTGCACACTGTAGTCATTTACGTGAGTGAGTGAGTTTAGTTTTACGCCGCACTCCAGCAATATTCCAGCTATATTGCTACGGTCTGTAAATAATAGAGTCTGACTCGACAATCCAGTGATCAACAGTATAAGCATCGATCTACACAATTGGGATACGATGACATGTGTCAACCAAGTCAGCGAGCCTGACTACCCGCTTCAGTTAGTTGCCTCTTACGACAAGCAAGGGTTGCTGAACAACAATTCTAGTCCTGATCTTCATCACTGCGGAAGAATAATGGTATGGAAGCTTCAGTATTTTTCTACACCGACATTTCTCTTTATTTGAATAATTTATGTATTTTTCGAAATTTCGATTTTCTCAGTGTTCGGAATAACTTCCCTTTATGTGAAATGATTTTCTCGAAAAAAAAAGGTATTAAAATTAACAAAAAGAAACGCAAAATATGAAAAATGAAAAAACTATAATCAATGTATTATCAACGTAATATTGAAATAATCCAAGTAATAACAAACAAAATAGGAAAACGGAAAATAAACGAACAAACGAGAAAATAATCGAAGGAACGAGAAACAATTTCGAGCTTTTGAGTAAAATTGAAATAACGAGAATATAATCGAAATTGTGAAAAC